TACCCATCGTTCTATCAATTATCTCTATATTGATCTATCTATATTTTACCCACTATTAAAGTATGGAACCCGCAGCTTCATTCAACAAAACATTAAAAAAGAAATTAAAAACCTTCTGAAGAATAAATGGAGCCCAGCTTTCCACAGGAAAGTTATTTTTGCTTTGAATGGCCATTTAGTATACAGTCCCGATTCATTCATCCTGGACCAACAGTCCAGGATTTGTCATTATCTCCACTGGAACAAAACAGGGAAATACAGAAATCCTGGATTGTTGGTAGGCCACGAGGACTGGTTTGGGAGCCACTGGTCTATAGCACTTGTATTATAATGGGAGATCCCCAGACAATCCTGTTACATAGAAATCTAGAATGTGGCGGCAGTTACAGGATTGTATAGGGATCTCCCATAATACAAATGTTATAGACCAGTGGTTCCCAAACCAGTCCTAGTGGCCTACCAACAATCCAGGATTTCTGTATTTCCCTGTTTTATTCCGGTGGAGATGACGACAAATCCTGGACTGTTGGTGGATCTTGAGAACTGTAGATCTACTCATCAGCCCCTCACAGTGAAACAGCCAAATGCAAAAGTGACGATGGTATACCATATTATATAAAATAGCACAAATTGTGAGACTAAAATAATTGTAACATGAGTGCAGAATTTGCTTGGGCTGACTCCAAATTTTTGACCTTGAGAATTAGCAAATTCCTATAAATCTGCATGAACATTATGAGTACCCGTCGCTTGCTCGAGATGAGCAATTCTTGTCCAATATAACAAAACTGATGCATTAAGCTGTAAAATATCATTCGTTTTCATGGTGACTGCCTTACTCCCAGCGCCTTCTCACATTATTTGTCTTAGACATAAAACCGTTATTTAGACGAACATGCATACAATCTTTAAGGCAGCTATGTCAGCTTTGGGGGGCATTGTATATTTTGCAAAGATCTCTAAAGCTGACATACCTGCTTTTTGTAAAAAACCTAAAGGGAGATATACTTACCAGAAGATATCCCAAGGTATGCCATCTTGTCCAACACTAAGGTCTATGGAGAGTTTAGCGAGAATGTTCTCCACAGACCTACTGTGTCCTAAATGACAGTGAATTGAGCAGTGAAATTGCAGGGGAATGATCTATACACTAAAACTGCTTAATTAAGCTAAAATTATGTTAGGATGTTGGGATTTGGGATTTAGCACGAATTTCAATGAATGTGTCAGAGGTACGTTAAGTGCTTGTTACCGAACCAAACCATTGGCTTAAAGTCCATTTAACTGCTGAAACAAATACCCAGATTAGAACATAATGCACAGAAATCCTCCATTAAAATCAATGAACATGTCATATAAGACCTATCACAAAGTGATGCTGCTTACACCATACGTTGGTTATAGAATCTAATAAACATCTTTCTTCAATTAATACATTCAGCAAATAAAAGTTTAATAAAAGACAAATACATGGATAATTATTAAACACCCAGTGATCTAATACAAAGTGAGGCTGATAAAAGCTATAAATTATAGACGTGGAGCCTTTAGCACTCCAGCTGATTATGACTACAACTCTTATCTGTTTGTCATTAAGTCATAATATACTGATGTTCTTTGGCTGCCCATTAATGTTCAGCAGCTTTGCCAGGGTAAGCCTGGCACCCCAGAATCACAGCCCTGTTACAGTGATCACTTGACCCTTGCTGCTCTGTCTCCTGTCTGATTAATAATATTAATGGAATGTGTGCGGGTCAGGTAGAGCCGTTATTGTGCCTGGCATATAAATAGTTACCAACATCTAGCAGCCTATACATAAAGGGTTCTGTATTCAGACAAACTAAATAAGTGTCTGAACAATACACACAGTATTTTAGTTGGGGCGGCGGGGAGGGAGGAGGGAAGGTGTACCCCTCGATTACTGTTTGAGGGAGATCTGCTTTTACTCAGATTGTTGGCAGTTTACTATGTGGTGTATCTGGATAGGAATTTCCACAAACATGTTAATGCTGGACTGTGGTTTGCTGAGCATGTAACGTTAAGCATTCATCCACCATACAAGGGATTATTTCTTTGTTTTAACAAACAAAGAACAAAATAAATAGAGGTATATTGTGTAAGGGGAAGCAGTATATTGATAGGGATTCCAGCCAAATAAGCATCAGAATGAGAATAACATGGGAGGCTAACAATGAGTGTGTAGTTCTGTGTCACTCGGAGATCAGCTTCGCTTCCTTTGCTGCTTCGAGCTGTGACAATGTTTCATCCCAAAGGACAAACTGCTTGGACAGAAGAACAGTCTAAAGAATCTAGTCAAGGAACAATTCTCAGAGTATGCACGTTACTTAATATCCAACGGAAACAGCCAACCATGCTTCGGACTGACCTCTGTATACAAACGCTCAGTCCTTGTAATGACTAATCTGTTACTCTGACTCGGCACGCAGACACTAAGTGGAAGCAGATATGTTTATGCAAAAAAAATAAATGCAGAAAGGTCACTAAATAAACTCCTGAACATAATACATTAAGCAACGTTATCAGCAATTTTGACATGCAAAGGTATCTAGAAAATAAACCATCCTCATGTCTGACTGCAGTCAATCCATCACTACAATAGCTTAACTAAATTATAGTCCTTTACTAACATGTGCACATTAGCCAGTCCACACTGCATTACAAAGCACTTGAAACACAATGTAAAGAGAAGCCATTACAGGTTCAAACTCTGTGCCCACAGGATGCACATTGGGGTGGTAGAGATATAGTATAGCCTAAACACTAGAGAGCACCCAGTGCCCTTAGTGGTTCCGTGTCTCACATTGCTACTCACATATAGGGGAGTCCACCTGGTCACAAAGGGGTCATGGAGACACTGCTTAAATACCACACAATGGGTGCAAGCGAAGAAATAGAAACATAGAATGTGATGGCATATAAGAACCATTCGGCCCATCTAGTCTGCCCAATTTTCTAAATACTTTCATTAGTCCCTAGCCTTATGCCTATCCCACGCATGCAGAAACTCCTTTACTGTGTTAACCTCAACCACTTCAGCTGGAAGGCTATTCCATGCATCCACTACCCTCTCAGTAAAGTAATACTTCCTGATATTATTTTTAAACCTTTGTCCCTCTAATTTAAGACTATGTCCTCTTGTTGTGGTAGTTTTTCTTCTTTTAAATATAGTCTCCTCCTTTACTGTGTTGATTCCCTTTATATATTTAAATGTTTCTATCATATCCCCCCTGTCTCGTCCTTCCTCCAAGCTATACATGTTAAGATCCTTTAACCTTTCCTGTAAGTTTTATCCTGCAATCCATGAACCAGTTTTAGTAGTCCTTCTCTGAACCCTCTCTAAAGTATCAATATCCTTCTGAAGATACGGTCTCCAGTACTGCGTACAATACTCCAAGTGAGGTCTCACCAGTGTTCTGTACAATGGCATGAGCACTTCCCTCTTTCTACTGCTAATACCTCTCCCTATACAACCAAGCATTCTGCTAGCATTTCCTGTTGCTCTATTACATTGTCTGCCTACCTTTAAAGGACTACGTACTCACATACTGTTTTCCTGGCACTATAGTGCCCTGAGGGTGCCACCACCCTCAGGGTCCCCCTCCCGCCCGGCTCTGGAAGGGGGAAAGGGGTAAAAACTTACCTTTTTCCAGTGCTGGGCGGGGAGCTCTCCTACTCCGATCCTCCTTCTCTCCTCCCCGTCGGGTGAATGCGCACGCACGGCAAGAGCTGCGCGCGCATTCAGCCGGTCGCATAGGAAAGCATTATCAATGCTTTCCTATTGACGCTGGCGTGCTCTCACTGTGAAAATCACAGTGAGAAGCACGCAAGCGCCTCTAGCGGCTGTCAATGAGACAGCCGCTAGAGGGAATGGGGGAAGGCTTAACCCATTCATAAACATAGCAGTTTCTCTGAAACTGCTATGTTTATAAAAAAATGGGTTAACCCTAGCTGGAACTGGCACCCAGACCACTTCATTAAGCTGAAGTGGTCTGGGTGCCTAGAGTGGTCCTTTAAGTCATCAGAAATAATCACCCCTAAATCCCTTTCCTCAGATGTTGAGGTTAGGACTCAAATATTCTGTACCCTTGGGTTTTTACGTCCAAGATGCATTATCTTGCGCTTATCCACATTAAATGTCAGTTGCCACAACTCTGACCATTTTTCTAGTTTACCTAAATCATTAAACATTTGGCTTATCCCTCCTGGAACATCAACCCAGTTGACCAATTGTTGTCTCCTCTGATAAAACAGGGGGTTCTTTCTTTCAATCAAAACTTTCATTCATAAGGTAGGTTCGGCTGCTTATATCTTATTCTTCCATAAAAGTACATGTCTCTTCCTAAAGTTTTATTACATTCTAGGTTTTTTTTTATTCTCTATTTTAATGGTTTTATAAGGAGCATACTACAGAACATCAGAGCTAATCCAAATCCTCATCAGAACATAAAGCTTATAGTAATGCAACAGGATGTGTTACCAGTTTTATGAAACATTTTCCCTCCAGCTAACACAATGTTTATTTAGCTCCACTACACGCCTCGTGTTATTTACCTGGGGTGAGGGAATGAAGATCTGTCACTATCAGAGAAACTGCTAACACAATGTTTATTTAGCTCCACTACACGCCTCGTGTTATTTACCTGGGGTGAGGGAATGACGATCTGTCACTATCAGAGAAACTGCTAACACAATGAGCACCAAAGTTGGTTGGGGAAGGGATCTCCATTTACAATCCACTTACAGTAAATGAATAAGGTAGTTCTATAGTCTTCAATCAATGTTAAGAGCCTTTTATTCAGTCACTATAAAATGACCTGGCTTCAGAAAGACGTTAATCATTATATCAGAGAAATTACCATTTATTTTTTCCTGGTGATTCTTCATGTTCAACTAGTGTTTTGTTAACACCTAATACTTGGCATGTACTACAAAGGATACCAGTTTGTTGTAGTCCTCAAGGAGTTTCTTGGTTTCTACAGTTATCGCCTCAGACTGATCCTGAAATCAAACAGTACAGAGTATTAACCTGTTCTGCAACTACAATTCCCATTATTATTAGCCAGCAGTCAGTTCTAAATAGAAAAAGAAAACATTTTAATTGTTTAAAAACTTGATTTGTCAATATTACACACTAACATTTACTTTAAGTTTACCTGCTGTTTTATGTGGACCTGCGTCAGAGCTTGCAATCTGGAGGCCTGGCCTGTCACAGCTGTACAAATATATATATATATATATAGATAAAAAAGTTAAAATATTGACACATTACAGATTACTTTTCACAACACAGAGCAACAAGCAGCAGTTATTTATTTCTCCTCCTCCTCCTTCTCCCCACCTTCTTCCATGGTCTAGTCGTAATGCTTGTGTCCCTATTGAAGGCACTTTCAGCAATGGACAAGAGTCATCATGAACACTCACAGCAAACTGCGATGCCCTGTGTGTTCTGACACCTTTCTATCATGGCCACCATTACGTTTTTCAGCTACAGTAACTGGTCTGTGTTCACCGGTTGTCCTTCCTTGCACCACTTTCTGGTAGGTAAGATTTGCCGCTTTGGAGATGCTCTGACCCAGTTATGTTGTCAAAGCCACTCAGCTCTTTTCACTTGCCCATTTTGCTTCTTCCAATACATGAAATTCAAGAACTTGCTGCCTAATATATCCCACCCATTGACAGGTGCCATTGTAATGATATAATCAATGTTATTCACGTCACCTGTCAGTGGGCTTAATGTTGTGCCTGGTCAGTATTTATCATTAACCCCTTAAGGACTCTGGACAGAAATTTTCCACCATTGCAGTCCTCCCCTTAAGGATGCAGGACGGAAAATTTCCGTCCAATACTAAAATTAACCCCAGATTGCCACAATCGTGGGATTAATGTTCCTGTAGTGTGCCTCCGTGTCTGAGGCACACTACAGAAAGCAGTTTCACTTTCACAGCCCATGCGATCATACTTGCTGCAGTGAAACCCGATCTGCCTCCCTGCACCTCCGTGTGAGCTGTTAAGTGCAGGGAGACAAATCGATGCTGATCTGTCTCACACTATGAAAAAAAAGTGTTAAAAATAAAATGCAAACCATTCCCTGTCCTCAGATCACAGTTTTTCACTGTGATCTGATTTTTTTTTTTTTTTTTGAACCCCTGAGGGTTAACCTTTTTTCTTTTTTTTTTGAACCCTCAGAGGTTCAATTTATTTAGCTAGTTAAATATTTGTCAAATATGTATTTATTAAGCTAGGGTGGGTAGAAGTTAGTGTGGAAATTGGGGGATTTACTGTTAGATTAGGCTAGTTAGGGGTTAACAGTAAAAAAAAGTTTAAAAAAGTTTAAACAAAGTTAAAATAGTAAAAATAAAGTTGTTAAAAGCTAAAAAAAAGAGTTGTTAAAAGTTTAACTTTTAAAAAAGTTTAAAAAAAATGTTTAAAAAGGGGAAAAATGCATATTACCTCTACACTTCTCAGCAAAAAAATTATACCACGCTAAGGTTCAAAATATGCCTTTTGAAACACCTTGTGGTGTCTTCTTTAGGAAATGGAATGCCCTTGTGAAGTAATTGAAAAAATACAACCTGCTAAAAAAATTCTAACTTAAATGGCTGTGTCTCAAATGTGTCCTTTCAATGTCGTCATATACATTGTAAAGATACATACGGGGGTATTGCTGTACTCAGATGACATAGCTGAGCAACATATGAGGTATTAAACTGCCGTAGCACAAATATGGTTTGCAAAATATACAGTACAAACCCCACTGTGTGTATCAAAAAAAGTAGATAAAAATGCTTATTACCACTGCACTTGGTACAAGCTAGCGGAAAAATGATTTCACACCAAGGTTCAAAATATGTCTTTCGAATTACCCTGGGATGTCTCCTATACGAAATTGTATGCCTTTATGGGGTATTTGAAATATGTAGCCTGCTAAAATACTCCAAAATGGGACATGAACACAGTGTAAAAATTTAAAGTTTGAAAAAAAACTGCAATGGCGGTGTCTCAAATGTGGCCCTCCAATGTCCACATACACCTGGCAAAGGTACATAAGGAGGTATTGATGTACTCATGAGCAACATATGAAGTCTTATAAAGCCGTAGCACAAATAAGGTTTGCAAAATATACAGTACAAACTCATTGTGTGTCTCAAAAAGACAAAAAAACAAAATGCCTTTTGAAATATCCTATAGGGTGTCTTCTTTAAGAAATACTATGCCTTTTTGGGGTAGTTGGAATAGGCAGCCTGCTAAAATATTTCAAAATAAAACATGGACCCATCAAAACCGTCTATGAAAATTCACACTTAAAAATCTAAAGTCTCTTTTACAGCACTGTAACGTCACAAAATAGTGTCTAGGTCAGTGGTTCCCAAACTTTATAGGTTCAAGGCGCCCTTAAAGGACTACTTCAGCTCAATGAAGTGGTCTGGGTGCCAGGTCCCTCTAGGGTTAACCCTGCCTGCTGTAAACATAGCAGTTTCAGAGAAACTGCTATGTTTACATATGGGTTAATCCAGCCTCTAGTGGCTGTCTCATTGAGAGCCGCTAGAGGCGCTTCTGCGCTTCTCACTGTGATTTTCACAGCGTAATAGGTGCTGCAAGTGAACTGCAATATGGGGAGAACAAACACGGCATTGTCTCAAATACTCACTCCCCACTAGATTGTCAGCTCTTGTTCTGTAAATTTTATAGTTACTGTATAGGTGGTGGCTTACCTTTGACGTGCTCACTGTCCAGATATGGCTGCAGGTTGTGTAGCTGTTCCAAGAGGGATGTTTGGGATATGATGTATTGTTCCTCTGTAACACAAGGAATACAATAAAGAGGCACTATAACCACTAGGGATGTGCAGGGGAGAAAAGTTAATGTTGTTTCGATTAGTTAGTTTTCAGATGACGGTGTGTCCAAAATTCAGAAATGATTGATTTGAAATAACCAAATTTAGTCCTAATAATTTAGTTAAATTCCAAATTTCATAAGATCATTATTCCTTAACGGAATGAATTAACCAACTCGTCCTAATATAGTGTATATCACACAGTCATCCTAATATAGTGTAGATTCTAGTGTGTACAGTGAATGAAAAAAGTATTTGATCCCCTACTAATTTTGAATGTTTGTCCACTGACAAAGAAATGATCAGTCTATAATTTTAATGGTAGGTGTAATTTAACAGTGAGAGACAGAATAACAAAAAAAAATCCACAAAAAGTTATAAATTAATTTGAATATCAACGAGTGAAATACGTATTTGATCCACTATCAATCAGCAAGATTTCTGGCTCTTAGGTGTCTTTTATACAGGTAACGAGCTGAGATTAGGAGCACTTTCTTAAAGGGAGTGCTCCTAATCTGAAGCTAGTTACCTGTATAAAAGACATCTGTCCACAGAAGCAATCAATCAGATTCCAAACTCTCCACCATGGCCAAGAGCTGTCCAATGATGTCAGGGACAAGATTGTAGGTCTACACAAGGCTGGAATTGGCTACAAGACCATCGCCAAGCAGCTTGGTGAGAAGGCGACAACAGCTGGTGCGTTTATTCACAAATGGAAGAAACACAAAATAACTGTCAGTCTCCCTCGGTCTGGTGCTCCATGCAAGAACACACCTCGTGGAGTTTCAGTGATCATGAGAACGGTGAGGAATCAGCCTCCTACATGGGAGGATCTTGTTAATAATCTCAAGGCAGCTAGGACCAAAGTCACCAAGAAAACAATTGGTAACACACTACGCCGTGAAGGACTGAAATCCTGCAGCGCCCGGAAGGTCCCCCTGCTCAAGAAAGCACATGTACAGGCGCGTCTGAAGTTTGACAATGAGCATCTGAATGATTCTGGGTGAAAGTGTTGTGGTCAGATGAGACCAAAATCAAGTTCTTTGGCATCAACTCGCTGTCTTGGAGGGGGAGGAATGCTGCCTTTGACCCCAAGAACACCATCCCCACTGTCAAACATGGAGGTGGAAACATTATGCTTTGGGGGTGTTTTTCTGCTAAGGGGACAGGACAACTGCACCGCATCAAAGGGACGATGGATTGAGCAATGTACCGTCAAATCTTGTGTGAGAACCTCCTTCCTTCAGCCAGGGCATTGAAAATGGGTCATGGATGGGTATTCCAGCATGACAATGGCTCAAAACACACAGCCAAGGCAACAAAGGAGTGGCTCAAGAAGAGGTCATTAATCCCATAGAAAATCTGTGGAGGGAGCTGAAGGTTCGAGTTGTCAAACGTCAGCCTCAAAACCTTAATGACTCGGAGAGGATCTGCAAAGAAGAGTGGGACAAAATCCCTCTTGAGATGTGTGCAAACCTGGTGGCCAACTACAAGAAACGTCTGACCTCTGTGCTTGCCAACAAGGGTTTTGTCACCACGTACTAAGCCGAAGGGGTCAAATACTTATTATTATTGCCATTTATATTGTGCCAACAGATTCCGTGGCGCTTTACAATATTATGAGAGGGGGGATTTAACTATAAATAGGACAATTACAAAAAACTTACAGGAACAATAGGTTGACAAGGACCCTGCTCAAACGAGCTTACATTCTTTAGGAAGTGGGGTGTAAAACACAATAGGACAGGGACTTATTTCACTCATTGACTTGCAAATCAATTTATAACTTTTTTGACATGCGTTTTTCTGGATTTTCTTTTTGTTATTCTGTCTCTCACTTTTAAAATATACCTACCATTAAAATTATAGACTGATAATTTCTTTGTTAGTGGGCAAACTTTTAAAATCAGCAGGGCATCAAACACTTTTTTCCCTCACTGTATATCACCTCCTCATCCTAAGTAGTGTACATAACCTCCTCATACTAATATAGTGTCTGTATATAACATCTTTATCATAATATAGCGTATATTCTAGTCAGTATAGCCTCTCCTCATCGTAGTATAGTCTAAATCCCAATATCACATCTCCTGGTGCTCCTCCTACCTCTCCCAGCACTCTTTCAGTGTTTCTTTCTCTGACTCTGCGTCTTTCTCCCAACCACTCTCTGTGGGTGTCCCCAAGGTTCTGTCCTTGGTCCCCTACTGTTTTCTTTCTACACTGCCTCCCTTGGTAAACTCATCAACCCTTTGGCTTCCGTTATCATTTCTATGCAGATGACACGCAAATCTACCTGTCCTCTCCTGATCTCTCTAATCCCATCTTGACTCATGTCTCTGACTGCCTCTCTTCGATTTCCAACTGGATGGCTGCTCACTTCCTTAAACTCAACCTGTCCAAAACAGAACTTCTGGTCTTTCCTCCCTCAAGTGTTACTACTCCCGTGTCTGTCTCCCTCCAAATCAATGGCGCGACCATCACCTCTACCTCGCAGGCTCGCTGCCTGGGTGTTCTTTTTGACTCCAACCTCTCCTACACCCCTCATGTCCAATCAATCGCCAAATCCTGTTGCTACCATCTCAAAAACATGGCGCGCATCCGCCCCTATTTAACGCCAGATGCGGCTAAGGTGCTGGTCCATGCTGTTGTTCTCTCTCGCCTTGACTACTGCAATCCCCTTCTCAGTGGTCTTACGTGTTCCCAGATTGCACCACTGCAATCTATAATGAATGCGGCGGCGAGGCTCATTTTCCTGTCCGCTCATACCTCCCACACCTCCTCGCATTGGCTTCCAGTTAGATATAGGGCTCAATTTAAAATTCTGGAGCTTGCTTACAAGTCCCTACATAATGCTGCTCCAACCTACCTATCCTCCCTAATACACAAGTATGTCCCCTCAAGGCCCCAACGTTCTGCCTCTGTCCGTACTCCCACCTCAGATGCTCGCCTCCAAGATTTCTCCAGGGCTGCACCTCTTCTGTGGAACTCCCTTCCCTTCTCCGTAAGACTTTCACCCAGTCTCCACTCATTCAAAAAAAAAAATCACTGAAAACTAATTTCTTCAAGAAAGCATATCAATTAAACTGTTAGCAGGTTTTTAACCCCCACCATTCATGACTCCTCTCCTGCAACTGTCAAAGTTACCTACTAAGCCCTCAGTGAATACTTTTCTAAAAACCTACTTCGTACCCCTACTTTTACCCTTTGTGTCACTATGCCCCACTCCCTCTAGAATGTAAGCTCATTGAGCCGGGCCCTCCACCCCCTCTGTTCCTGTACGTCCAGTTGTCTGGTTACAATTACATGTCTGTTAGTCTACCCATTGTACAGCGCTACAGAATCTGATGGCGCTATATAAATAATAATTATGATCACCCTAATATAGTGTATGTCCCAGTCTGTATATCACCTCCTCATCCTAATATAGTGGGTATCCCAGTCTGTACATCAACTCCTCATCCTAATATAGTGTATATTCCAGTCTGTACATCAATTCCTCATCCTAATATAGTGTATATCCCAGTCTGTACATCTACTCCACATCCTAATATAGTGTATATCCCAGTCTGTACATCAACTCCACATCCTAATATAGTGTATATCCCAGTCTGTACATCTACTCCACATCCTAATATAGTGTATATCCCAGTCTGTACATCAACTCCACATCCTAATATAGTGTATATCCCAGTCTGTACATCTACTCCACATCCTAATATAGTGTATATCCCAGTCTGTATAAACCCTCCACACCCTAATATAGTGTATATCCCAGGCTGTATATCACCTTTTCATCCTAGTATAGTCTAAATCCCAATATCACATCATCACCCTAATATAGTGTATATCCCAGTCTGTATATCAACTCCTCATCCTAATATAGTGTTTATTTCAGTCTGTACATCAATTCCTAATCCTAAAATAGTGTATATCCCAGTCTATATATCACCTCCTCGTCCTAATTTAGTTATATCCCAGACCACACACTCCTTTCTAACCATTATATATTGTACATCATTGCACATAACTTTATCAGCCTACAACACTGGATATCATCTCTTAACTGTAATAAAGTGTATATCTGATTGTATACCCCTCTACACCCCAATACAGTGTATATCACAGAATGTTTATAATTCTTCATCTTAAAATAGTTTAAAAATATACCTGCTAATATGAACTCTAGCTTCATAGCATCAGGAACAGCGATTCTGTCTATGTACTGTGGGTCCAAGTATTTCATCAGGTCATCAACTAACAAGGAAAAGGACAGTTAGGAACAGGATAGACACAAAATGCAGTAGCAGTTTGCTAGGCGAGATATGATAAAGAAAGCCTACACACGCCATCTGTTAATAGCAGTTAGTAGCCACACTGGAGGAGATTAGAGACTCTAAAAGACTAAGGGCTCTATTTTAACATTTTTTCCTAGACAAACGCTACTCGCTAAATGCCTGTCGCTACTGTCACTGTTTATTAATTATAACATTTCTCCAGTAGTGACAGGGAATTACCAGCGGACACAAATAAAAGCCAGTTGTTAGGTAGCTGCTAACTTGTCCCATTACTCTTTATGGGAACTGATAACTGCTACTTAGCAACTGTTTTCTAACCAGTCGCTACTGTTAACCCTCAAAATTTAATGGGACAGAAACTGAAACAAATCAGAAACAAAAGTGATTTAACTTGTAAGTGGCAGAGAATTGAACAGTGAGACTGCAGGGGCATGAACGAATCACAGAAACGGCTTGATTAAACTTAAGTTGTTTTGGCGACTATAGTGTCCCTTTAACATCAGCTTCTTGCCTGGTGCATTTCTGCAACTCCTTATATGAAAAATGCATGTAATCTATTTGGCTAAACTCAAGCCCTTAATGTAATGCCCTAATAATTAAACCTCTGAATACGTACTTTTCTTGTACAGTGTCTTGACACGCTCTCGCTTGCTTGCAACATTCCCCAGAGCAATCTGTACTTTTATCAGACCATCTGATATCTGCAAAATACAGACTATGACATGCAATGGGCATTTCAAAAGTCCACATTAAAATAAACAGACATGTATACACAAAAAATGCTTGACAATCACTAATATTTAATATAATCTTACCTTTCCGATAAAGAATTACAGGTTAGATTAAATATTTTTTTGGGGGGGAAAGAGGATTTTGTTTCAAAGAAACATTTTAACGGTTTTCTGTGCCATATTACTTATATGTTGATGTTGCACTGTATTTTCTATGCTATTTGTTTGGATGTAAACTGTGCAAGTAATTTACGTCTGATTTATTTTTGTCCTGGAATTGTGTGTCAAAAGTAGGTCTCACCGTATCAGCAGCACTGTCAGTATGCATTCTAAGATGTGAAAGAGAGAATAAACCCTGTGTGTTATTAATTTCAGCAATATTAAAGGCATCGTGAGACAGCCACACACTGGATGAGAGTAATGAGAGATGTAATACAGCACACAAAGGACTACAGTGTGTCAGTCAAAGATAAAATAATGCACAAATGCACTAATCAAATGATGTGATTGTGTCAATTAATGCAACCTTACGGAAGCTCTCAGTTCTGCTCTTGAACCAGAAGGTAATGCTGCCTGTCAGCTTGATGGCTAGAGGTTATGTCTAAAATCAATTCATAAAAGTGATGGAAACAGAGATTAAAGAAAGGCAATTGGTGATACTTTGCAGGACTGCTGGGGAAAGATCAGGGGAGGAGAGATATATCTGGGTGCGGTTGGCATACAGTTGGTAGCGGAGTCCAAAGTGGTTAATGAGTTTGCCAAGAGAGGCGGTATAAAGAGAGAAATTCACCCAGGGAGGTTATACTATGGCTTGCAGTGGCAAGTAACCTTTAATGCCTGACTAGTAGCATAGCACTATAAACTGTAAGCCCTGTGTATGTGATGTGGGAAAGAGTAGTGGTCTATGATTTTAGCTAAACCAATGCTTTCCCATAGGGAACAATTGGGAGGCCACAGTGCGCCAATCAGCACCTCCTCATAGAGATATACTGAATCAGTGCATCTCTGTGGGGAACATTCAGCGTCTCCATATAGAGCGTGGAGACGCTGAATGTAGGTGTTGCACACTGAGGACTCTCTAGTGGCTGCCTGAGTGACTGTCACTAGTGGTGTTACTAGACAGCAATGTAAACACTGCCCTTTCTGTAAAAAAAGGCAGTGTTTACATTGAAAAGCCAGCAGAGACAGACTATAGACACCAGAGCAACTACATTAAGCTCTAGTTGTTCTGGTGACAATTGTGCCCTTTAAAGATTGCAATTTTCTTGTAGAATATTAAACTGGCTCCTAAATTTAAAACAAATGTGTCAAGCCCTGCAGTACAGGATATGCATATAATATTTAGTATATTACTATTGTACAGTACTCAGGATGATACTCAGTAAATTATTATATAACACTCAGTATATTATTATATAATGCTCGGCATATAATACGCAGTATATTATTATTGTTATATAATACATAGTATATTATATTACACACAGCATATTATTATTAACATATTATATACTCTGTCAGCGAGTGACTCACTGAGTGAGTGACTCAGTCAGTCAGTCAGTCCCTCAGTCTCTCAGTCAGTCAGTCTCTCAGTCTGTCCCTCAGTCATTCAGTCAGTCTGTCCCTCAGTCAGTCAGTCAGTCTGTCCCTCAGTCAGTCCCTCAGTCAGTCAGTCAGTCAGTCTGTCCCTCAGTCAGTCAGTCAGTCCTCAGTCAGTCAGTCAGTCCCTCAGTCAGTCAGTCAGTCTCTCACTCAGTCCCTCAGTCAGTCAGTCTCTCAGTCAGTCAGTCCCTCAGTCAGTCAGTCCCTCAGTCAGTCAGTCAGTCCCTCAGTCAGTGAGTCAGTCCCTCAGTCAGTCAGTCTCTCAGTCAGTCAGTCAGTCAGTCAGTCAGTCCCTCAGTCAGTCAGTCTGTCTCTCAGTCAGTCAGTCCCTCAGTCAGTCAGTCCGTCTCTCAGTCAGTCAGTCAGTCCCTCAGTCAGTCAGTCAGTCTGTCCCTCAGTCAGTCAGTCTGTCCCTCAGTCAGTCAGTCTGTCCCTCAGTCAGTCAGTCTGTCTCTCAGTCAGTCAGTCAGTCCCTCAGTCAGTCCCTCAGTCAGTCAGTCAGTCCCTCAGTCAGTCAGTCTGTCTCTCAGTCAGTCAGTCTGTCTCTCAGTCAGTCAGTCAGTCCCTCAGTCAGTCAGTCAGTCCCTCAGTCAGTCAGTCAGTCCCTCAGTCAGTCAGTCAGTCTGTCCCTCAGTCAGTCAGTCTGTCCCTCAGTCAGTCAGTCTGTCCCTCAGTCAGTCAGTCTGTCCCTCAGTCAGTCAGTCTGCCCCTCAGTCAGTCAGTCTGCCCCTCAGTCAGTCAGTCTGCCCCTCAGTCAGTCAGTCAGTCCCTCAGTCAGTCAGTCAGTCCCTCAGTCAGTCAGTCAGTCCCTCAGTCAGTCAGTCTCACTCAGTCCCTCAGTCAGTCAGTCTCTCACTCAGTCCCTCAGTCAGTCCCTCAGTCAGTCTCTCAGTCAGTCAGTCAGTCTCTCAGTCAGTCAGTCAGTCCCTCAGTCAGTCCCTCAGTCAGTCCCTCAGTCAGTCAGTCCCTCAGTCAGTCCCTCAGTCAGTCAGTCTGTCTCTCAGTCAATGTCAAAGTCCTCAGTCAGTCAGTCAGTCCTTCAGTCAGTCAGTCAGTCTGTCCCTCCTCAGTCAGTCAGTCTGTCCCTAGCCAGTCAGTCTGTCCCCAGCCACTGGGGTAAGGCCAAGCAGGTAGCATAGTCTCAGCCAGTCTGTCCCCTCAGCTGGGCCAGTAAGGCTGTGTTGGTATAGCATACAGTCTCAGCCGTCTGTCCCCAGTCAGTCAGTAAGGCCAGTTGGTATAGCACAGTCTCAGCTGGGTCTGTCCCCAGCCGGGCCCTGTCCCTCAGTCAGTCAGTAAGTGTCAGTTGGTATAGCACAGTCTCAGCCAGTCTGTCCCTCAGTCAGCCGGGGTCTGTCCCCAGTCAGTCAGTAAGTGGCCAGTTGCTGGTATAGCACAGTCCTCAGCCGCCCCGTCCCCAGTCAGTAAGTGTCAGTTGGTATAGCACAGTCTCAGTCAGTCTGTCCCTCAGTCAGTCAGTCTGTCCCTCAGTCAGTCAGTAAGTGTCAGTTGGTCTAGCACAGTCTCAGTCAGTCTGTCCCTCAGTCAGTCAGTCTGTCCCTCAGTCAGTCAGTAAGTGTCAGTTGGTATAGCACAGTCTCAGTCAGTCTGTCCCTCAGTCAGTCAGTCTGTCCCTCAGTCAGTCAGTAAGTGTCAGTTGGTATAGCACAGTCTCAGTCAGTCTGTCCCTCAGTCAGTCAGTCTGTCCCTCAGTCAGTCAGTAAGTGTCAGTTGGTATAGCACAGTCTCAGTCAGTCTGTCCCTCAGTCAGTCAGTATGTCCTCAGTCAGTCAGTCTGTCCCTCAGTCAGTCAGGCCGTCAGTCCTCAGTCAGTCAGTCTGTCCCCGTCAGTCAGTCTGTCCCTCCCGGGGCCAGTCGTCTGCCTCGCCAATAGCCAGTCCTTCAGTCAGTCCTCAGCCAGTCAGTCTGTCTCAGTCAGTCAGTCAGTCCCTCAGTCAGCCGCCGTCCCCTAGCCAGCCAGCCAGTCTGTCCTCAGTCAGTCACCGCCCGTCCTCAGTCAGTCAGCTCCGTCCTCAGTCAGTCAGTCTGTCCCCTGGGTCAGGCCGTGCGCCGCTGGTATAGCACAGTCTCAGCCGTCTGTCCCTCAGTCAGCCGCCCGTCCCTCAGCCAGTCAGTAGTGCCAGCTGGGTGGCAGCAGCTCTGGGGCCAGTCAACCCTCAGCCGCCGCTGCCTGCCTCAGCCAGCCAGTGCGCCGCTGGTGGCAGTACAGTTCAGCTGGGCTCCACCTCTCAGTCAGGCCCGTCCCTGGGGCCAGTCAGTAAGTGTCAGTTGGTATAGCACAGTCTCAGTCAGTCTGTCCCTCAGTCAGTCAGTCTGTCCCTCAGTCAGTCAGTAAGTGTCAGTTGGTATAGTCAGTCAGTCCCTCAGTCAGTCAGTCCGTCTCTCAGTCAGTCAGTCAGTCCCTCAGTCAGTCAGTCAGTCTGTCCCTCAGTCAGTCAGTCTGTCCCTCAGTCAGTCAGTCTGTCCCTCAGTCAGTCAGTCTGTCTCTCAGTCAGTCAGTCAGTCCCTCAGTCAGTCCCTCAGTCAGTCAGTCAGTCCCTCAGTCAGTCAGTCTGTCTCTCAGTCAGTCAGTCTGTCTCTCAGTCAGTCAGTCAGTCCCTCAGTCAGTCAGTCAGTCCCTCAGTCAGTCAGTCAGTCCCTCAGTCAGTCAGTCAGTCTGTCCCTCAGTCAGTCAGTCTGTCCCTCAGTCAGTCAGTCTGTCCCTCAGTCAGTCAGTCTGTCCCTCAGTCCCGATCAGTCGGTCCTCGATCCAGTCCCGTTCGGTCCCTCAGTCGGTCCCTCAGTCGAGTCGGTCGGTCCTCAGTCAGTCAGTCTATTCCCTCCAGTCGAGTCCAGTCAGTCTCTCAGTCAGTCAGTCCCTCAGTCAGTCAGTCAGTCTCTCTGTCTCAGTCAGTCAGTCAGTCAGTCTCTCTGTCTCAGTCAGTCAGTCAGTCAGTCTCTCTGTCTCAGTCAGTCAGTCAGTCTCTCTGTCTCAGTCAGTCAGTCAGTCAGTCTCTCTGTCTCAGTCAGTCAGTCAGTCTCTCTGTCTCAGTCAGTCAGTCAGTCTCTCTGTCTCAGTCAGTCAGTCAGTCTCTCTGTCTCAGTCAGTCAGTCAGTCCCTCAGTCAGTCAGTCAGTCTCTCTGTCAGTCAGTCCGTCCCTCAGTCAGTCCGTCCCTCAGTCAGTCTGTCCCTCAGTCAGTCAGTCTGTCCCTCAGTCAGTCAGTCTGTCCCTCAGTCAGTCAGTAAGT